ATTAGTGAGCAGCCCTTTATAGGATGAAGTAAATGATGCTCTACCTAATGGTGCTGGAAAAGGAGAGAGAAAATGGCAATAACTCACCAAAGTCACTACCTCATCATGACACAGACCTCTTAACAGACCTTCGTAATTTTCAAAGCACTTACATATTTTTTTAATTAATTGTTTAGCGTTTTGATGGGTCTTTCCAATATAAATTGAAAACCAATGAAAATTCCTGATTAATATTTTAAAATTTATTGATGAGAGAGAGAGAGAGAGAGAAAGAGAGAGATATGAATTTGCTGTTTCACTTATTGATGCATTCATTGGTTGATTCCTGTATGTGCCCTGCCTGGGGATCGAACCTGCAACCTTGGTGTATCAGGATGATGCTCTAATCCACGGAGCTACCCTGCTTGGGCCCAGATTAACTTGTCAACAGTGCCTTGGATGCTCACTGACACCCTGTGAGGCACTAGGAATCTACCATGAACCAGAGAGACAGGACTCTCCCTCGGGAGGGTGGGACGCAGGCAGAGTCCTGAGGGGGTGCGGGAAGGGCCTGAACCAGTTAGAGATGCAGTTTCCAAGGAAGCTGGTCCCTGCTTGGCCTGAAGGACAAGTAAGCTGGGGGGAGAGGAGGAGGAGGCTGGGAGGCTGTGCTCATTGGCCTGTGGCAGAGTGAACATCTGTCCCACCATCTCTGGGGATGGAGAGGGCGGGAAAGGGTGGGCAGGGCTGCATGTTAAATTATAGCCACCCGGCGGCCGGGGAGAGGAAGGGCCTGGGGGTAGCACCTCCTTCTCCCCACGAGGCCACCACATGCTCACCTCTCAGCTGGAGTGAGGTCCCGGGCGGAAATGCTCTCTTGGAGCTGGTGACCGTGTTCCATAAGCTCGAAATCACTTTTCTATTTAAATTATAAACACAGTCAATGGCAATTGTCTTTAAAAGGTAAGGGGGGGGGGGCCCTGGCCGGGTTTGCTCAGTGGATAGAGCATCAGCCTTCGGACTGAAGACTCCCGGGTTCGATTCCGGTCAAGGGCACGCACGTACCTTGGTTGCAGGCTCCTCCCTGGCCTAGGCCCTGGTCTGGGCTCGCGCGGGAGGCAACCAATCAATGTTTCTCTGTTCCCCCCTCTCTTGCCTCTCTCTCTAAAAATCAATGGAAAAATGTCCTCAGGTGAGGATTTAAAAAAATAAAAGGTGGGGGAGGGAGAAAAGTATAAAAAAAGAACAAAATAATTAACAGTAATGCCACAATCCAGAGGATGTCATGACTAGCACTCCAGGCACTGGAGAGGAGGAAGTCCCAGTGAGGACTGCCGGCTTAGCAAGCACAGCAGCATTCATAAGTAGATCTTAAATTAATAGGTTTCCAGCTTTTAGGAGAAAAGGATATTCCACTCTGTTAGAAGTGCTGAGTCCCGTGACAATCTGAGCCGTGTGTAAATATTTTTGATTATTCTTCTTTAAAAGGACGTTTGAAGTGGGTGTGTGCTCTTATCTCACTCCATAAAGGAATAGATTACACGTTAATGGAGGTCCTGGAACTGTTTGCGAAGGGTTTTCCCGGCCCCCGAATGGAAACCAGGCTCAGGTGCCACCCTGAGCAGAGCAGCGGGATTTAACAGAACGAAACAGAAGTGGCTAAATTACTAATAAAACCGGTCCAAGGAGAGTGGACGCCGTTGACACTATTGACACCGTGGCTGCCTGGACCCTCGTGAAGAGGGACATGGGTCTGGGAGGGTGAGAAGGGGAGCCAGAGTCAGGGCAGCCCCTGCTGCTTGGCGAACAGGAAAGACTATGGAGGAAGGAAATGTCTCCACGGAAGGTCCTCTTTTTGAGTTAATACCTTCACGGAGGCTCTTGTGAGAAAACTGTCTCCTAAGGAAACGAAAAAGAAGTTGACTTCCATGTCTGGCCCGAAGCCGTTGGCCATAAAGACGATACGTGTTGAAGAGCCCGGATGGAGAGGGGACTTCCCGGGCCCTGGTGATGGGGCGAGGGTGGGGGCAGGGGAAGCCCTAGTGTCCCTCGGGGCCAAGCATGGCCTGGGCTTCTGCAGGACCCACGTCTTCACTGTCTATCTTCTATGTCTCCCTGTGAGACTGTGGGCCCCCTGAGGTGGGACTCACGTCTCCTCTTCCCATTCCACGTGGCTGTGGCCATGGGAGCTGTTGGCAAGCGGATTCCTGTCCCCATGAAGCAGATGAGGAGACGGGGGCCTGGGACCCGGCCGGGGACACAGCCACCGCGGTCAGAGCAGGGGTGGACCCAGGCTCTCAGCTCCATCTGGCGTGTCCTCTGGAAGACAATACCTCAGCAAAGCCATTTATACTAGTAAATAATTAGACTGGATGATAGAGCTCACAGGGTCCTAGGACAGCTAGGAACCAACGACAACCGAGGCAAATGTCCCGGAAAATGAGGAGGTGGCTCGTCTAAGCTGTGGAGCAGGTTGGCGGAAGGATCAGGGCAATGGAAACACTGAGAGGGAGTTTGTGGTCAGCGATCTGGGGTTTAGCCCTGGTCCGACTTAGCTCTCACCCACTGACTGACCTACGACAGAAAGAACGAGTTCCTCAGGTTTGAACCGAGTGGATCATGTCTGCATTATCATCCTTGGTCCATGTGCAGAGGACAGTTCTCCTCTGAGTGAAAACCTCTCCATTTGTTCTGCTCGGCACGGCTCGGATTGGGTCGCTCAACTGTTTCCTCCGAGCTGTGCTGCCCGCGGTCTCCGGGGCCGCTCGTCCCAGCCCCCCCTTCCCCGGAGCCCCCTCCGGCCTCTTGTTCACATCACAGCCGCAAGGCAGCCAGCTGCGTCGCTTCCCCTTCCAGCGGAGCTCGCCCCACACCCAGCGCAGCCCTTTCCTGGCGCCCCCCCGGCCCAGGGCTGCAATCACTAAAATATTAACGGCTCCCTTTGAAAGAAATAACTCAGTGAGGCTTGTTGTAAAGTAAGATTGTGAGAGGGGTGGGGACAACGGGGTGAAGACCACACAGCAGCACCGTCGGCTGAGAAGGGACCTCGAGTTAAGGCCGAGGAGGCCATCCTTCCCCTTCATGTGCCGGGATCTCCCGGCCAGGCAGCCCCCCTGGCCAGACCCACCTTCTGGGCCTTCCGGTGGGTGCGTAACTCGCTGGCTGGCCCCACCTGCTCTCCTGGTCCACAAGGCAGCACAGATCTGCAAACAAAAGGCTAACGGTGTCTAAAGGAAAGAGGGGCTCCTGTGGTTAAAAACACACGTGATATATTCTTTTTTTAAATCCTCACCGGGTTTTTTTGTTTTTTGTGTTTTCTTTTTGAGAGAGAGAGAAACATTGATCAGCTGCCTCCTGTAGCCCCCTGACCAGGGATTGAACCCACAACCCAGGCATGTGCCCCAACCTGGAATCAAATCTGCAACCTTTTGATGCAAACTTTGGTGATGTTCAATCCACTGAACTATTCTGGCCAGGCTGATTTCTTTTTTGATCCAAGTGCTTTTTATAAATTATTATTTCAATCTATTTAAAAATTGCCAGGCTCGAGTCGGAGGCAGAGAGCTGCGGCCCCATCCCGTGTCCAATCCTTGATGAACACACTCAGCACCCATTTCCAGGCGGGCCCCAGCCACTCCTGTCACTGTCGTCATGGTCTCCCTGGTGCCCTGAACGGCGTGTGGCACAGACCCGGCACAAAGCTGTATTTTCTGAAAGGATGGCTGAGTAGCTGGAGAGGGAGGGGGCGGCGGGGAGCAAACGCTGGCCCTCACCATCGCAGCACAGGAATGCTCATATTTTTATTCCTTTTATCATGAAGAGAATACAAAGGCTGGGGACAGACACATCACAGGAGGGGGAGATGGTGCCGCCTCTGCCAAAGACACCCCTAAACTAACACTGGAGGGGAGTGGGCCCTCAGGGCAGCCTCTGCCATCCAGAAAATCGGGCCTGTCGGTGAGGGGGCCGGTGGCCTCCCATGAGTCCTGGCCGAGCCTCCAGGTGCCAGCGACACAAAGCCGGCCCCTTTCCCAAAGCAGCCTGCCCCTCCCCCCCCATCCTAACCGGAGTCCAGCCTCAGGCCTTTCTCTTCTTCCCCTTCTTGTCTGGCTGGAGACTGATTCCCCTGCTCCTTGCACTTCCGGGCGTGCTGACAGCCTCTTCCCACTCCAGAATCTCCAGTCCTGTCTTTCAGCTCCACCCCAACCCTCTGGTTCCCAATGCACTTCCCAGTCCCCTCGCCTGGAGCACAGAGCTGTGCCCTGAACCTCCAGGCCAGCGTGTCCCTCAAGGGGAGGTCTGTCCTCCGAGAGGACCCGGCCTCCCACCTGCAGGGACCCCTCCCTGCGGCCCTCCTCAGCCGGCCCTGCGCCCAGCTCCCAGGGACTCTCAGCCCTGGTGCTCCAGGGACCAGGCTCCTGCTCAGGCCGTGCACGCGCAGTGTAGGTGCTCAGGCCTCTGTGAGGTGCGCACAGTAGGTGCTCTGGCTGTGAGCACGCACAGCATACATGCGGCCTGTGGAAAGCCGTTGTCTGTCCTATAAAACAGTCGCTATGGACCATGTTGGGAGTGAGAAACGTGGCTTCATTGTGGGTTTGGTTATAAGTGTGATACTTGTCAGAAAGGCTTAGCAAGCTGGCATCGCAGCCACTGACCAGCTCAGGGAGGAGAAAGAGTGGCAGGAACCTCCCAGGATCCAACTGGAGTTAACACAGGTGGACATCCTCGGGCCTCCGGCCCCTCCCCTTCACCCCGATCTGGTCTGCGGCAAATCTAAACATTCTCGAATTCACAGTCATAGTTGGTCATGCGGCACATTATGAACTTCCACTGGCGGTCCCTGTGGAGAGAGAGAAGAGGCGGTGAGAAAGGACTCTGTGGGAGGGCCCCCATGAAGGGAAAGCTGTAAGCCCCCCAAGGAGCAGGTAGGACCGAAGGGACCTAACCCTCTCCCTCAGAGGACAGGACTGGAAGCCTCCAGAAGACCGAGGGGGGGGCTGTGAGGTCAGGAGTCCTGGGCACTTCCTCCCCCAGCCCCGGTGACCCTGCAAGGGCCGGACTAGGTGGCTGGCTGTGTGGAGGCTGGTCAGCTCCCCCGGCTCCGTCCCTAATGGCTGGGAGCACTAGCATGTAGGTAACGCCATCCACAGTTCACCTTGAAGAATTGTCTCCTAACTGGGCCATCCACCTGCTGGCTTGTTCTTTCTTTGACTGAGTTCTGACCCTGTGGCACGCTCCTTCGGGGTACATGACTGCAGGGAATGCAGGTGAGGAAACCCCTGGAACCCAGGAAGGGAAAGGCGGAGGCCCCCCCTTCTTGCCGGGGTGTTTGCTTGGAGGGCGGGCGTGGGTGTGAGAGAGCATGGACTCACTCAGCCTTGACCGGCAGGGTGTGGAGGAAGTGGGCATTCTCATTGCCCAAATACATTTCTTTTGTAGTAATTTTAGATGGCGTTCTTCCTTTACTGTGATTCCCCTGCCTTCTTACACAGGGATGCAGAACTAACTTTCCTGTTGCCGTGGAGACGTCATTAAAAACACTGAGCACCAGCCCTCCTCTTACCCAGGTGCCCTTCGGGGCTACGCAGTCGGTGGAACTTCACCGGCTTCTGTGGTCTTTGAGTTCCGAGGTCTTTCCTTCTCTTAGGTGAGCGCATTCGAGAGTGTGTGCGTGTGTGTGTGTGCATGCGTGTGTGCGTCCATGTGTGTGTGCACGTGTGCACGTGTGTATGCATGTGTGTGTGAGCGCACACACACATGTGTGCCTGTGTGTATGCCTCTGTGTGTGCATGTGTGTGTGCGCGTTTATGTGGTGTGACAACATTCAGCTGTTGCTCCTCCCTGCTGAAGCAAGTTTCATTCTAAGTACTATCTTCCCTGCTCATTTTGACTTTGCTGCTTCTAGGAGATAGGTAACTTAACTAGTTCAAGTGCATCTAAAATAAAAATGATCCCGACTGAGAACTGAGGGGTCTCTTATGAGTAACATGAACGTGTTTGTTCAGGAAGCCTCTTTAGACCTAATTAACGCATATTTGTTGGTTTGTTTTTTGTTTTTTACATTGTGGACCTTATTAAGTAAGTGAGCCTTAGTTAGGTGAGATGTCATTTCATTTACAAACATCAATATACACAGAAGATAAGTCACACCCAAACCCATCACCATCCATAACTGATTGAGTTGATGTAAGTTTTGTTCTCTTTGCAAAGCATGCATTGCCAATGCTTCAGGAACTCATTTGCTGGGCGAACTGATTCCCACCTGACCACAAGTAGATCACATCTACCTTGAACACCTGCATTATCCACACCCCCTCTCTCTACGTTAGTAGGGAGAAAAATCCTTATTTTCTGCCCATTGTATTGTCTTGATGTATTTAGGTAGCACTGGCAGCTGATGGTGAGAGAAAGTGGATGCTTTTATGTCATTAAAACTTCCCCCTCTCATTTCTAAACATGTTGGTGGGCTGGTGCACTTCTCTCTAGCCCCTCCCCTCCCACCTTCCCACAGCCCCAGGGGTTGTGTGGAGAAACAGCCTCCCACAGTGGCTGCCCTCTCCTGCTCCTGTTTGGCAAGAAGAAGTACTTTTTGAAATTGAGTGAAGGGAAGAGCTTAGAGAATCATGGGCTACCGAGGAGAGGACATCCTGCTCTGAGCAGGCTGGACCCCTTGTGGCCGGGGTGAGCGGCTCGACGCAACGCATTTGTGAGAATAAGTCAGTTCCCAGCGCCTCCCATCGCCCAGCCAGTCTCTCCTGAATCCCGGACCAGGTGGGAAACCACAACAATGAAACCCCAGCTCGGACTTCCTGCCTTCAGGGCCCTGGCCCATGGCTCGTGCTGCTCCTCGGCCCTGGCCCAGGGAAGCTCACCTTTCCACCGCGGAGAAGGTAGTGGTCGCGCCGCGCATGTAGTAATCGTAGTCATAGGACACCATGTCCATGTCCTCGCCGTAGTGGCCGGGGTATTCCGTCGTCATCCTGTGCGGGAGGAGCAGGAGGTGAGAGGGAAGATAGACCCGTCTGACTGTGGGGCCATCGGGCAGGCAGTGCGAAGGGAGGCTTGGGAGCCTGGGAGCCCAGCCCGGAGGTGGGTGGCTCTCACAAACTGTCCCAGGCTGTGAGCAAAGAGGAACCACCTCCACTCTCACCTTCCTTCTTCCTGCCAGAGACTACACTCTGAAAAAGATGTCGATACCTCCCCAGGCCTTGGAGAAATGCTAATATCAACATTCGTTCATTCCATTCAAGTCAACTAGAACCATGTTTTCAAACCCGATAGCGACTCATTAGGGATCACGAAATCAATGTGATTGGTTATTGCCAAATGTGCTTTTAAAAAAGGAGAGATAGAATAGGAAACATCAGTGAATTCAGTGTACACACGAAGGGTAAGTTATATGTGTAAAAACTTTGTTTCACATGTATGTATGTGTGTGTTTTATGATGCATGTATTGTGTGGTAGTTTAAATGTATGTATGTATGTGGTGAGCTTTATGATGCATGTATTGTGTGGTAGTTTACATGTATGTATGTGTGAGCTTTATGATGCATGTATTGTGTGGTAGTTTACATGTATGTATGTGTGAGTTTATGATGCATGTATTGTGTGGTAGTTTACATGTATGTATGTGTGAGTTATGATGCATGTATTGTGTGGTAGTTTAATCTGCACTGTTTACTGTGAGTCACGATAAGAAAGTGCTTGAAAAAATGAAAGGAAATGTAAGCTCCTCGGGGCGGTGGTTGCCTTGGCCAACGCTGCTTCTGGCACGTGGCGAGTAGCTGCTGAATCAGTGAGGCTTTGGGAGGGTCACTGCATCTCAGCCTCCTGGTCCGGAGGAGAGTGAGAGCTCCCTGACAGTGAGAGCTCTCGTCAGTGGGCGGAAGACAAATACGTGTGAGAGGCTGGTACGTGGGAGGGGCTGAATGCGAGCGGTTCTGCTTCTCCTTCCTCCCCAAGATTAAGTCAACCCCGGGCCTCTGGGTGACGAGGGTTCGCTGTGGTCCACCCTGGAATGACTCTAGGATCGAGCTCTCATAAGGGCTTCGCCACTGGGGGCCTGCAGGACCCTAATAGTTCTTCCAGTAGGAACTGGCCCCCAAAGTCTCATCTGTACCCCAAGGGCGGGGTTCACCGGGTCTGGGTTCACCAGGTCCTGTATGTTGACGATAAGAAGTTCTTCCGCTATGGAGATGTCACACTGCAAGGACTGTCACCACATCTTGGAAAGACTGATTGATAAGCTGGAAGGTCTCATAGGAGGATCTCGGGGCTTAGGGGCAGCAAGACCCATGGTTATCAGGATAAGTGAGCCCACAGCCCACGCCCTGGGCTCGCAGTCCTTCCTTTCCCCGCACCGAGCCGCTGTCCTGGGGCTGGGGTTCTCCTCTCAGGACATGACAGTGCTGTCAGAGGGCCAGGCCCAGCTCAGTGCGGGTTACATGCGTTTCTGCTTAATGTGCTCACGCGGGAAGTAAGGCTTTGCCGAGCCGGCAATCTGCTCTGTGCCTCTACGGAGACCCGGGCAACGACTTCCTCTTCCTAATGAAGACGCTCAATGACTGATGAGTGGACCTAACAGGGCCTCGCTCGGACCCCACTGGTTTGTGATCCCCGAAGGTTCGAACAAATGCTAGACTAACCTTGGCCCAACGAAATGGGGTCTTGTTGCGAATGTGAAGAATGCACATTGGGGTTGAGAGAGATGGGGTGGGAGGCGTTTTCCTCACGTGCTGGGAACAAAGCATCTTTTCCAGAGCTCCTGAAGCACTCCCTGGACATGATGTATAAAAGCTAATTGCCAGGCATTTTTTCATGAGCTAAGGCAGACTCTCCTTGTGGCTAAATGCAATCGCCAAAACTACCTATTTAACTAATAATATAATCAGGATTGGATTTTTCTTTTTCTATTTTTTTTACTGATCCGCCTTCAGATTAGTCAGAGAGTTAAATACATTTGGAATAAAGTGGGAGAGAGAGGATTGCATTTTAAAAAATGACGACTTTTTAAGCTTCCAAGGGGAAAGTTACCATATTCTTTCTCTCTCTCTCTCTCTCTCTCTCTGTTTTGTTAATCCTCACCCGAGGATATTTTCCCATTGATTTCTTAGAGAGAGTGGAGGGGAGGGGGAGAGACAGAGGAAGAGGAACATCGATGTGAAAGCGACACATTGATTGTGTCTCCCATATGCCACCGACTAGGGCTGGGGATTGAGCCTGCAGCTGAGGTACATGCCCTTGAGTGGAATCGAACCCGGGACCCTTAAGTCCACAGGCCGGCTCAAACTGGCTAGGGCTACCCAGTGCTCTCTTTAACAAGCGTCTCTATTGCTTTGTTTTGGGTAGTGACCAGACACAGGTCCCCGTGTAACTGGACAGTTTGTCTGGGAGGCCTGCTGTCATGTGAGGCTCTAGAACAGCGGTTCTCAACCTGTGGGTCGCGACCCCTTTGGGGGTCGAGCGACCCTTTCACAGGGGTTGCCTAAGACCATCGGAAAACACATATATAATTACATATTGTTTTTGTGATTAATCACTATGTTTTATTTATGTTCAATTTGTAACAGTGAGATTGGGGGTCACCACAACATGAGGAACTGCATTAAAGGGTCATAGCATTAGGAAGGTTGAGAACCACTGAACTAAGGTACATGCCCTTGACCGGAATCAACCTGGGACCCTTTGGTCCACAGGCCGATGCTCTGTCCACTGAGCCATA